GCTGTTTTGGCAGGTATAACAGGATTCGTTCTCATAACGTGGCCAAGCCATTTCCGTTTTCTCTTGGTTATCATACTGTCTAGAGTTTCTTGGTTTGTGACTTGAAGTAGTTTTGTGTTTGAGATTGTATCTGGCCAGAAAATTTTAATAATTCTACGTATACGTGTGGTGGAAGGTGGATAGCTTGTGTGCATTTTTTTTAAAAATCCTCCAGCATTCTGCTCCATAAAAAAGAACTGGCAAAATAATGCTCTTGTAGAGTTAAAGTTTTGTTCCTCTGCAGTAAATGTTGAATTTCCATATTTGCCTCATCCTTCCAGAAGCAGCTCTAGCTTTGCTCAGGCGTGACTGTATGTATTCCTCTGTCCCTACCTGTAGGGACGCCACACTACCAAGATATGTAAAATGTTCTATATTTGTAGGTGCTTGGTTATTTATCGTCACTGATTGTTGGTTTGGACAAATATACTTTCACATTCTCCCTGAATTTTCTACTGGTCACATTAATTTTTTTTTTTTATATCTTTTTGTTTCTTTGTGTTTGTCTTCAGACACATGTATGGCTAGTCCAGCCAACCTATCAGCTGCTCGTTCACAAGCACACTCGCATGAGGCGAGCATAATATCCACGTGACTCTCAACACTTGTGATCTCTGGATTGTTTATGACGTAAACCTTATTATTCAACCTTTCAGAAAATGCTCTGCAATACAATGCCAGCATGTGCGGCTGAGATTATTTCCCACCCAGTTACTGCCGCAACCTCTAATCTCATGCTTAATGTGGTAATGTCGTATGCTTGGCTGTCTATATCACACTTGATGGAAGCTGTAGAGAGCAGATTCCTGGTATTGTTGACACTTTAGTCAGAACACTGATTGACGAAAACACAGATGAAGGTGATGCTATAGTTTATACAGATGGGTCAGTAATTAGGGGCAAGCGAAGTGCATGGGCATTCACGGATAGCTCAAGGGGGAAAACAAATAAGGAGATGAATGGTGCCTTTGCTGTTACAACTAGTAGCCTTACAATGCAAGCTATGGCTGTAAAAAGGGCTTTAGCATGGCTTGGTACTTAAAAGTTCACACATGTATGCATTCTTACTGACTCAATGAAAATGCTTTAAAAAAAATCCAAGCTGGATTTATCAGGCAAGAATGGATTGAAACACTAAGCACCTTCATCTTTGAGAAGGATATCCGGGTACAGCTAATCTTGCCGACACTGCAGTTGCAGCTGAGGAGCAAGAAATGACTAGTGATATACGTTTTCTGACAGAAGGATCAAAGAATAAAAAGAGAAAGAGGAACGGCACAGTTGCTAAATGAACCCATTACCTTCATAATACAGGGCAAATGGCTTGACAAACTTGCGGAGACCCTATTCATTAAGATAAAAAACAAAAAACAACAACAATATCTTTCCACATCTTTACAAAGGTTAAGAAAAAAATGGACACCACATTTATGTAAAGATTACTTTAATGCATAAATTACTTTCCGCCATTTATATTAACATATAATACAATTACACAGAAACATTATTTTAATACATATTAACTGGGACTGAGCCTCAAGAGGCAGGGGGTAAGAAGTGTTGGTGTTGTGGGTAGTGGGTTCCCCCCTTACTTCACCCTAGGTCTAGTGAATATCTGTTCACGAAAGGAGCGTCCATTGTGGTGTCAGCCTCTTGACCTAGCAAAACCTCTCTTACCTCAAGACCATTGTGCGTGGCGAAGAGTCACAGCCTCCCCGAGGTAGTCCTGGTAACTGGGGGTGCGAATCCCCAGGCAAAACACAATGGATCTAGAGGAGCAAACCTTGATAATAAACCCGGTGCACCACACCGTACTGCCCCCTGTGGGAGGGAAGGAGCCAGAGGTGTGCTGAACAGTCTTAGGAATGGAAACAAGTATGCTAACCCCCCTGAATACCGGAAACTATCGTGAAGGCACAGGGACTCAGGACGTGACGATCCAGTTGCCCCAACTACTCATGCTTAGGCCATGCTTAGAGCTATGAAGAGCTCAGCGAAACCTGCAGGCAATCTGGTGGCGGGGAATGAGCAGAAACACAACCCATATTTCCTTTAGAACTGGTACAGGGCATTTCTAGCTGCTGCCCGGGGAGGTAGGTAATCCACAGACACCCCAGCACCACAATGCCATGAATATGTCAAAATTTAAGAATACATACGAGATCGGTCGTCGCCTCGTCTATCAAGGCCCGCACCAGACAGTGGGAAACCAGGCTGTCATGTGCGAAAAATTGGCTACTGGAAAATTTAAAATAAATAGGAAAATCAGACACCCCAGGAGGAGGAAGAGTGGGAGGGAGAGCAGAGAACTCAGACAGCACAGCAAAAAATACACAGATGCTCAATATTCTGCAGCTGAACATCTGTGGAATAAGAAATAAGAAACTTGAACTTGCCAAACTGCTAAACAACCACAGGGTACACGTGGCTGCCCTACAAGAAACCCTGCATAAAGACTCTGATCTGCATCTCACTGGATATACTAGTTATGCCTGTAAGTCAATGACTGCCGGGGCATAGTGACGTATATCAGAAATGACATACAAGGAGATGTAACAATGCTGTCGACATCTCACCCTACAGATGTGCAAAAAATAACTATCTGACACAATGCAAGCAAATATACGATATACAACGTGTACAGCCCACCTCAGACAACATGCAACATACCAGAACTATACAAGACACAGTACCATAAAACCCTTCTTGTTGGTGACTTCAACGGACACTCGCCACGTTATGGTTACCCTGACTACAATAGCACAGGGAAATACATCGAAGATACTTGTGAAACAACTAACCTATTAGTGCTGCAGGACATAGAGTCTACACCTACACTGTTACACAGGGCCCACCTATCTCTCAGCCGACCAGACCTGACCATCTGCTCATCCGACTTAGCAGACGCAAGCTATCCCCAAGTCCTGGACGATATAGGAAGTGACCACAAACCTATACTCACAACTGTAAGCACCACCGCTAAATTACGCTTCAAGCAGAGAACCCGTTGGAATTTCCGAAAAGCAAACTGGAAACTATTTCAGGAAACATCTGACTGCCTCCTGGGAAGAATTGACAACAGCTGTGTGGAAACTTTTTGTGAAGACATAACACAAGCAATCATGAATGCAGCGTCGAAAGCCATCCCAAGGGGCAGCCGGAAGGCATATAAACCTTTTTGGAATCAAGAAATTCAAAATACTATATCTGAAAGGAATAAAGCAAGAATATTTCTCGAAACTGCACGTTCAACAGAAGCTATAGATCCAATACAATAAAGCATGTGCCAGAGTAAAGCTTGTAGTTAATAAGGCTAAAAGAGATAAATGGACAGAAACTTGCTCCAACTTAGACCTTAGACAGAATGGAAATAAAGCATGGACTTTAGTTAAGAAGGGTAGTAAAGTAGAAGGGTGAACCCAAAACCAGTGACAGATGGGAGTAAGACAATCACTGAAGACAAGAAGAAAGCAGAACATTTCAATCATTATTTTGCCTCAGTTAACAGAGCAGGTAAGCTGTCAGAACTCAATAGAACACAGCTCTCTCAGTTGAAGAAACAAGAGAGAGCTCCAACAGCCAGCGACTCCCTTTTTGAAAATGAATTTAGCATGGATGAATTAGAGCAAGCCCTGAAGAAATTAAAACCTAGAAAATCCCCAGGCCCAGATAAGATCCACAACGAAATGCTGCTACATCTTGGCCGGTCTGGGAGAGAAGTAGTTCTCAGGCTTTATAATAAAACTTGGAGGTCAAGCAAACTTTCAAAGGCATGGAGGAATGCATATATCGTCCCCATTCTTAAAACCAAAAAGCCTCCAGATGACCCCAAAAGCTACCGCCCGATATCCTTAACATCATGCTTGGGCAAAGTTGCAGAAAGAATGATAAACAGGTGCTTATATTGGTTCCTTGAGAGTTCTGGTGTTCTTTGCCATGAACAGGCAGGCTTCAGAACCAACAGCTGCACAGAAGACCAGCTGTTCAGACTGACACAAAGAATACATGATGGCTTCCAGAATAAGAAACACACAGTGGCAGTCTTTGTCGACCTCCAGCAGTATGGAGAAAAGGTCTCCTGATGAAGATGATGAGCATAGGAATACATGGCAGATTGTATAACTGGATGAAATACTTCCTGATAGATAGAACAATCCAGACTAAGATGCACAACGCAATCTCTTCTAAAGAAGTCTTGGAGGAGGGCTTGCCACAAGGCTCATCATTGAGCTGTACACTGTTCCTAATCTTTATCAATGACCTGCCAGAACAAATCAAGGCCGAAAAAGCCTTGTACGCTGATGACCTAGCAATATGGTAGAGTCATGAATTCAGAGTCTGGAATTTCAGCTCATTAATTAAAAACCTGCCCCAACGTAGATTCAAAACTAATATCTTTAGACTCACAGGCTGCAACTAGTCATTTGAGCATATGGCAATAGCTCCACCCCCCCCCCCCTTTTTTTTAAAAGACCAAAGAACATGTGATGGGTGATGTAGTCAATATTATACTGGCCAGATTTATCTTACAGGAAAACTTTCCTGTACCCATGTTAAGGCTGGGGAGACCTAAGAGCAACTGGTCGAGAGGCTAAAAATGCTGGGTTCTTATTTGGCAGACCCATGTCCAAATTCCTGGTAAGGTGAATTATTTTCTGATGTCTGCAAAAATAAAATCCTCACCTGCAAGCTCCATGGCACTACTGCATCAGTCATGAGGCAATAAATCTTCAGACACAAAACACACACATTCCACTTTCTGTCAGACCACAGAACACTTCTAGCAAAACTGTCCTCTCCTGGAGAAGCTGTACAGCAACACGTAGCCATCCACATCTAGCAGACCTGACAACTAAGCTTTAGTGAAACCTAAGAAAACTGAAGTGATATCCCAGTTTATGGCCCACAGTGGATTAAGCGCATCACCAGAGATTTCTAAAGATAAATACATGAAAACAATTTCAAGCAGTTTCAAGCTTTTGACTTGTGTTTTCAGCAGGAAGTGTTGAATTCAAACAGTTTTCAAAATTCACAGACGCCAGAATTTCCTTATGAGAAGAAAGTTGTTGCAAAATTAGAATAATTTTAGCTGACTTAAACTGAACCGCACTCCAAAGCTTCTCTATGCTTATTTCATTTTCTATTTCCAGATTCTTATTCAACGAACGCTTAGCTTGAGCTGAGTTTCTTAGCTGACTGGAAACGGGATGACATTGGGAACTGCCATGCTGGAAGCAGCTGACTAGACTTTCTTTACACATCACTGTAAGCTGGTCAATCTCAACCAGTTCTTCCCTGTTGTAAATGATTCCTTCCAGCAGCTGAAGTGATCTCTGCAAGAACAGAGTTTAGGATATATAATTATGCATCAGAGTACAAATCCTTTCAGTCCTAGAGGTTTTGCATCATATATTCAATAGACTAAAACAACAATTTACTCAACAGCCTGAAGATCTTAGGTTTATATCTGCATTAAGCCAGATTTTTATAAAATGACCTTGGCTTCCAGGCCGATCCAGCACCAATCCTAAGATGGGTACATGGAGATGTCCTGGGAAGTAAAGGTGTTGACCATATGACCCACCAAGCACCAGCTGAGTATATCATCATATTTTTTATATGCCAACAGCAAAAAAGGGTCCTTTTCTTTACTTATACCATAACACCAATTTTTATTTTTTTTAACCTGTTATCTTGAGAAAGCTATTTTTCCACCATTTACAATCTGTAGTTTAACTATTTTTCTAGCATCTGCTTTCCTGAAAAACTGGCATTAACATGTTCTATCATTTTATTCTTAATTAATGTTACTAATTATCTCTAAAAGAAGAGAGGTGTTAGAGACAGCGGCCAATGTAGGAAGAAAATGGATTGTTTAACAGAGCGGCAATGAAGGTTCATTAGCTAAAATCCAGGTCAGATGTTTGTGAAGGAAACTTATCATTTCTGCTGCTCTGCACACAATGTAGATGAATGTGTATGCTGCCACAGAAATGATGAATGTTAAAAACAATAAAACTGCTGTGAATTTTTAGGCCAAAAGAAACAATTAAAGAAAATGATTCTCTTTCTTTTTCACTTTCACATCTGGTCCTGGTTGTTTGTCCACTTCTGGAATTTGGTCTTGCTCCAGGACTTGGGTGTTGCAAGAAAATTAGTTTTACAGAGGTGTGCTTTATATGTGTGAGTATGAGTTATGAGTCAGATTATCTTCACAGCACTCCGGACACATCCACAGGTGCTCAGATTCCCCCTTCAACATATTTATCAGCGTCCTGTGGTTAATACTGTCAGTCCTATGCTAGTTAACAAGACTTCTTGTGCGTCTAGTGTGCCTCTCATCCTTGGCTGTGCCGATCATTACTCCCAATTCTCGTATTCTTAGCAGTGATGTGGACATATTGCTTCTAAAATCCGTGCAAGGGCATTAACAATTTTGGCGTGATTCATAGTTTGGCCATCTGCAAATAATGCAGAACCTGCCAATCTTTCAGCTCTTTATTTGCATTCCCTGCATCTCAAGCAGACACTCTGGCTTTGAAGGAAATGTCAACTGTATCTATATTGCCAAGCTGCTGGCTGAGAACCTGTTTCTAGGATGACCGTGGAGAGGTGTCAGCAGGTATTGACCAGTATAGTCCTAGTGCACCATTACCTGTGGTTCAGCATCTCTGCACTGTAAAAATAAGGAAACAATCACCCACAAGGCTACCAATTCCAGCACAGGATAACAATTATATTTCAAATAGACTAGAATTAAACACTATCCCGGACCTCAGAATATGGTGCAATTAATTATGCAGTGAAATGTACATGAGATTTAGGGTTAAAATAACAGCCACATGTGGTTTGGTGCTACAGACAGCAGAATGCATACTCCAAGGCAGTCTTAATGATATGACACAATACGACAAGCCGTTCGATTTAAAAAAAAAGCAATAAAAACTTAACTTCGTGGACCATTAACCGAACTAAAAAGGATAGCGAAATTCATATTAAAACAACATTGGAGATGTAGACTATTTAAGGAGAAGATAAATTAAAACAAACCACTCACCAAAACAACCCCAGCATCTTGGCTTGCTAACTTCTGAACCAATATCTCCACAACCTTATCACAGCTCAAGGTGGAGCATTTGTTCAGAAATGCTGTTACAGTAGATGGGGACAGGAAAATGCCGTTTTCACCAGTGGATCCTTCTTTGACTACAGATACCACAAGCTCTGATTCTTCTTTCCAATCTGCCTGAACTTCATCTTGTTGCAGCCTGATTAGAAAACATGTTATTTACTAGTCGACAGAGATTTAGTTTGTAAGCTAGCTAGCATTTCAAATTTAAAGAAACAAAGTAACAATAATAAATTAATTCTGCTTGAGAGAGTCAGTGACGAGTAAAGGATATTTAATCAACCTTTTGATGTATGCAGTCTGGGGGTATGGACTCTATCACTGAGCCTTATGGAAAAACTCTGATTTCAGCTCAGCTTTAAGAAAGTCATTTAGCTCAAAAGACCCCGACCCCCCCCAAATTGTTAATTAATGTATTAATATCTTGACCTCCTAAACATTTGCTTCTTCTTCTTATTTTGATCCTCTGGTACCTTGTGGCCTCGAGATCAAGCATAATTTACAGGAAAGCGACCGTTTGTGCGCTTTATAAATGTGGGATTCCCAGGGACTCTTCTTCTTCTTCTTCTTCTTTCGTTCACTTGAAATAAGTTGTCTATATCAGCAATTTTGTCTCTTGTATAAATTTCACTGTTGTTGTTAATTCATTCAGTGGTCCATAGAGTTTAAGTTCCACTGTTGTTTTTTCTGGCCAAAAGGTTTGCCTTAATGTGTCAAATTCGGTGCAGTCCTGGAGTACATGCTCTGCTGTCTGGGGCACCTTTCCACAGGTGCACACGGCTGATACGCCTATGTTGAATTTTGTGTACATGTGGTTACATAATCGGTTGTACCCTGTTCTGAGGCGGAGGATAATGACTTGTTCTGATCTGTCCATAATAAAATAGTCATCTTGTGCTGGGGCTGGTGGTTTCCTGATTGATTTAATGCCAGGGACTCTGTTATTCCCTCTGTCCATCGCTTGCATGGTCGTCCGACCCCTTCTTTGCTTCCCGCCTGGTCTATACATCATTGCTTGCTGTGGTATACTGTTTGCTGACATCCGCGTTATATGGCCAAGCCATTTCACCTGCTGTCTTCTAATGAAATCCAGAGCTGCCACTACTACTATTTCTCCTTCGGATTTCATCATTCTTTATATTATTTCTTATTGTTATATTGAGAGCCCTTCACAGGAATCTCATTTCAGTTGTAATTTTTCTGTTCTCTTTTTCTGTCATTGTCCAGGTCTGGCATTGGTAGCACAGGATTGGCAAGAAGATTGTTTCATGGAGTGCTCTTTTGGTTTCCACTGACACATGTTTGTTTCTTAGTATTTGTGTCATTTGCCCAATGAGTTGGTCTGCTCTGTTATATCTGTCATCAATCTCATCTTCTGTTCTGCCGGCTGATGATATTCTGCTTCCTTAGTATTTAAAGTTTTTGGTTGTTTCAGAGAGTTTTCTGTAAGCTGGATATCTTCTTCTTCTTCTTCATGTTCACCAGCTGTAAACTCTGACGGAAAGTTCTGGTTGTTCATCCACATTTGGATTGCAGTCCTGTTCCAGGGCATGAGTGTTGCGTGTGCACCCATTTTACAGATCTGACTCATTTGAATGCAGGCTGCTGGTTCCTTGCCTCTCAGGCAGATGCACTCTGACTTTGAAGGAAGCTCCCAATTAGTTGACTCTTACGACATGCTTCTGGGTAGGCAGTGAGTATATTCTTCTCTTCCCCCTTTTAATTGGGCCCCGGAACCCCCACGGGGAAAAATAAGCTGGATACCTACTATTTTGTCTACTTTGGCTATGGTCATAATCTCTGTTTTGTTGCCGTCAATTTTCACATTATGGTGAAAATTAATGCCGACAAAACAGAGATCACGAAAACATTTGCGCAGGCCCGTAAACTGCCAGTAGCATTAACTATGTGTTTCACAAACAGGTAATTAAAGACAATTCCAAACAGAGACATTTACTGGGAACTGGACCCAAACAAAACGTGTCAGCTTTTCAGTTTCTCTGGGCAAAAGAGTTAATATGATAGTGGACTACCTGTAAGTATGATCAACCAAGCTGTCTGTTTCAAAGCTGAACTGTTTGGAGCCATTGTCATTGTTGTTTTCATTATTCTCCTCCTCACCCTCATCATCATCATTCCAACCACCTCCTGCACGCCCAGGTTGATGCTTTTTCACTGCTGAGAAAACAGAAAATTAGAATGGTTATTACACATATCCTACAAATTTAGAAGTTTCAGAAATAAATTTAAAAGCAGAAACAAGAAAGTACAATTTCTTTTAAATTTTTATTTTATTATTTGACTGCAGCAGAATCTGTCTTCTTCTGCTTTTCTCCCCATTGCAAAATAGGATCTCCAGCAAATTATGCCAAGGTGTTCTACAATTTCCCATTTCCTCCATGTCTGCCTCTTTTATTCATCCTTCTCTTTCACTTCTTCATGTGTTTTTAAGGGTTTCCTCTACTTCTTCTGCCCTGTGGGTTCCAGAGAAAATATTTTCTTGGTATACCATTAGCAGGTTTTTTTTTAAATTATAGAGCTCTATCTGGCAGCAGATTCTGTTCAACTCTAATTTGTTGGAATTTGTTTGGTTTTCTCCATTAATGTGTGTTAATTAGTCCTTTTTTTCTGCAAAGGGTAGTTTTATTAGTATTGTGTTTTTATGCTACCAATGACTGACTTTTACAGCCTGCTAACTCAGTCATGGCACTGACAGTGCGTTTCTACATGTTTTATAACATCAACTGAAACAATCTCATACAGCTTAAATAACACTGCTAGTCCATTCTCGGAATTCATATCAGCAAATTTCAATATTGTGTGTGTGTGTATGTCTCTGTGTGTGTGTGAGAGAGAGAGAGAGAACTGTGGAGCACCCGAGCCCCCTCCAAGCCTTCTTAACTCTGGTAGTCTACAGGACAATCTTAGGTAATGCTAAGGACTTCCCTACTCTAGCAAGGTACGGCTGGTCAAGGGTTTAAGGGAGACCCAGGTTCAAATCCTTGGTAAGGTGATTATTCAAAATATAAAATCCTAACCTGCCCACTTTATTGCAACTGCCCTAGCCATGAGGCCCCAAATCCTCAGACTCAAAAGCCAACCAACTATGACCTTGGTTCAGGTTGCCTGACAGCCTACATTCCACTGGAGGGATTGAGGGCAGAAGAAGAAGAGATAAAAAAAGCATAAACAATCTCTGTCATGAAAACAACAGAAGCAGACTTTTGAAGCCAAGGGTAGGGTACACAGAGTATGGTACTTAGCCTAAGTACTTAACTCTTTCAGTCCAAGGTAGATGTTACTTAAACTTGTTTTCTTCTAAGAAACTGTTACTTCAACTAATAAATAGTGTGGTCAGATACAATAAAAATAATAACATAATGATATAGAAAGAGATAGTTTGCATTCTTTGGTCGTGTGATGGGAAGGAGAAACTGGAGTACATCGTAGGAAAGTTGGAGGGGAGGAGGAGGCAGGGAGAAAGATGAGATAAAATATGCAGGACATCATGGCATGGAGGATCATCTGTTAAATAAAAGTGCAAGAAACGGAAGGCTGTGGATAGACATGACTATTAACACCAAAAGATTGGAATTTAAGAAGAAGATAGGGGTTGCGAACTTTATCCCTTCTTGTCACTTGGACCACCTTTCTCAGATGCCTCAATTCTGAGACCTGATGTTGGTTTGTGAGCTGTTGTCACTACCCATGACTCACACCCATAGGTCAAGACAGGAACATAAGTAGAGCGTTAAACAGCCATTTTGGACCTCTTGCCACATTCTCTTTTGCTGAAAAATCCTCGGTTTATGGCCTGGAAAAGAATCCCAACTATTGCTTTTTGTGTAGCCAACACTAAAGACTTCTATTCCAGTCTATAACAACTTCAAGGTATTTGAACTGGTTGACTTGCTCCAATGCATACTGTCCCATCATAACCTGGTGTTTCTTGACCTCTCTTGGGATCACCGTGATTTTAGTTTTTAGTCTGCAACCAGACAATATGTCATGAACTTGAAACCCAGGCCTTACAAACTCGAGTAGATCAGTCACAGTTGCGATGGTTTGGACATGTATGAGATTGGGAGAGAACTGGCCGCCAAGGTAGGCATGGGAGGCCAAGACTCAGGGAACCAGACCACCAGGGCAACTCCGGGTTTGCCGGAAAGACAACATCCCACAATCCCTGACTGACAGAGGACTGAAATGGAACAGGCCCCCCCCCCCCCCCCCCAAAAAAAAATAATTAAGAAATCAGGCTAATTCTCTGGCAAACCTCTACACCCCAAGGTAGAGGATGAGCGACTAAGTTAGATATAGGGACAATTTAAATAACAAGATGGCTAAATTAGTTATTAGTGTAGCAACTGTATGAAATATACGAAGCTGACAGGTATATTTTGTCAGGAGAAACCAACAATGCATGATGCGAATATACAAGTATTCTGAAGATGAAAACCAACCAATTTAGAATGTACCTGGTTTGTATAAACTGACTGTTGATTTACTACTGCTTCCTTCAAGAGCTACAGAGGGATAAGCTGGCTCCATATTGCCTGTGACAACAACAGGTGGCCTATAGTTAACAGTAGAACTGCTCAGATCCAGCTTGGCCAACAAGGCTGCCTGCCGATCTGAAGGTGTTTCTGAAATTTTGGCTCCAAGTTTTTCAATTCCATCAAGTATGGTTTCTCCTAGGGATTCTGAAGTATAAGACAAATGATACAACTTTCAGCTCTATATTTAAAAAAAAAAATGAAATGAAATGAAAAACAGACGAAAAAGGCTGTAAACCACAACACAACGTGCCAACCTGCCTTTCAAAGGCAAAAGCAGAAAAAGAAAATACTATTGCATGCTTTTATTTTCATTTCCATTTATCTCTGTGCGGGTTCCAAGGTCCTTCTGTGTGTGTGCATTTGTGCCAACCCCTCATACACATGGGCTGCACAACTGTCAATTCTTGAAATCACAGTGACAGAATTCTGCAGTCCAACTCATGATCCACCAGTCATCTTGGCAGTACATCTAAGCCCCAACAGAATAAAACATATGGTAAACCTGCCACACAACAAAGTCTATGTCTACATAGGACCTGAACAATTCACACACACGTCCATACACTTAGACTGGCTGAAAGCGGACTAACTCAAGTAACACGCACTCCTGCTAACACTGTCAGCCACATGTAGATCTTATATTCCTCACACAACTCGGAGAATTTGCAGTCACCCGTGAATATCAAGCAACCTCTGTTTCACAACTTTAAGTGGCTCAAATGTTTGCACTCACAACCTGTCAACATAACATGTATGCCGCTGTGTACCCATGCTTCAAAAAGCCCTGGCTTCATTAACTCTTTATACACCACAGTGACTTTTGCATACAACATCTCGGTCTGTTCCCCCCTCCCCCCCCCCTCCCTTATAATGAATGGGGCCATGGAACCCACACAGAAATAGTATATCTCAAAGTGGGCTGTATTTCTTGTGCTGTTATTAAATTTTTCAGTTGCATCTTTAAATCTGAAATAAAGAGATTATCAACTGTGCTGATCACAAATATCAGCAAAATACTTATCTTGCATCTAATTTGTTTTAGGTGTTGTTTTTTTAAAACTGTAGCCCTGTGGCTCTGACGCTGCAGCAAGTAGTTCCAGAGCTCAATTTGTATCCAAATATTGTTAGGCAAAAGTTTCAGATGTGTATTCATATTCTGACAGGTAGATTTTAATTAACAATAAATCTTATATTAAATAACAAGTATATTTTCACAAACCATAAATAAATCTTATAAGGCCTATTTTAATTAACAATAAATCTTACACTAAATATTTGGCAGATTTTCACAAACCAAAACTTGTATAATAAACACATTTTTGTAAAACATCTTACAATAAATGTGCTGACTTACTGGGCTGTGTAGGAGTATTGCCAAATCCTTGAATAGCTCCTCCAGTACGTGCTGGACCCAAGCCTCCTAAAATAAAGGTTCACAAGATATAACTCAACAACGAAAAAGAGAATTATTCTTCTTTAAAAATTAAAAACAGCAAAATTGTTTTCCTGTGTAACTGCATGTCAGTGCTCCATACAACTCAAAGGAATCCACGAGACAACATGGAGACAGAAATGACTCGCCAGACTCTGAGAAAACAATCACATTTCTTCAGTGGATTCTGGCTCACTCTGGCGCATCAGGAAATGAGTTGGCGGACAGACTTGCAAAAAATGGAACAAAGGTGAAACAACATAACCATTCACTGTCATTACCAGAAATCAAAACACCTATCAAAGGAAAATATAAAGAATTCTTTAGAGAACAAACCAACAGTATACACTCACAAAACCTCATCAGCAGACTCAACAGAAAGCAACATACAACAATTTTCCATCTACAAACAGGACACTGCATGCTCAGTTACCACATGCATAGAATTAAGACTGTAAAGTCCCAAAAGTGTGCCAGTTAGATAGGACCACAAACACCTGAGCACATTCCACATTCTATCTTCAACTTCAAAAAGACACCTGGCCTCAAGCGCAAAGTGTGCAGAGCAAGCTATGGGGAACCATGAAGGATGTGCAGCTGACATGTGAGTTCATAGAGGCAACCCACCTGATGGTCTGACGAGCATACGAAACCAAACGCAAATAATAAGAAAAAGAATTCATGATTTGGTTCAATTTCTAGATGTTCTAAAAGTTAATTAAACAAATAATGACAAACATTTAGGGCATAACCTCTAATGCACTGGACAGCATGAGAAATGCCATCATTATCTTTGCATGCTGAGGGGAGACTTCCAAATGTGGAAACAAAGAGATATGATGATTGTGAAGATTTCAGCATGAGAAATAGTACTGAGGGAAGTTAAAAAAATAAGAAAAGCTCAGGTTATCTCATGGCAGATTCTGACATAAGGGTGAAAATTGTTAGGACATTTAACACAGAAGACTACAATAATTGTCTGCTGCTGTGTAAACCTTTAACTCTTTGATTACAGTAGTTATCTCTTCGCCTTCCCCTTGCTCTTTTCTACCAATGTTACCACCTGTAGCCAAGTTCTCGAGTCCATTCATTCTCACAACATGTCTAAAAAGTCTATCCTGTAAATAATTAAAACAGAGAAAGACTATTTAGAAAACATTTCAAATGCTCTACATACTGATCTCTTCTCTGCCCTTTATCCACCAATAGAAAATAGGTTCTCAACCAACAGGTGAAGCTGTCTTATCCTTTGCCATATGTCAGTGGTCTCCAACCTTTTTCAGGCCACCCCCCCCTCCCCCACTTGAGTCTACAGCAAGACCCCATGCCCCCCTCCTAAGCATAAGGCAAGACCCCCCCCCCCCCCCCCCCCCCCCCAACATAACAAAACGTGATTGAAAAGAGGAGGTAAACAGATTCTGCAATGAGGGAAATGGACAGTGTGGAGATACATTTTGAGCAGAATGTATTACTAATCTATAATTAAATGTCTGTGTTATCATACTAATTAGACTGTTAACTTTAGATGTATCAACTGCTTATAAAAACAAAGTTCTTAGCTTTTTGTATTATAGTTGTTTTTTTTTAAATTTTGTATATATAATTAAACTGAAAATATAATATTACAGATTATTACAAATGCAAATGCACTCAACTTCAAAACCGCTTTACACCCCCATTGAAACACACCCCCCCCCCCCCCCCCCCATAGTTTGGAGCTCACTGCCCTATGTCTTCACCAGCCTTTTCAACTTATTTTCACATTTTGTTATCCGTGTGTTTTTTGTCTACTTGTATGATCCTGTTGAATCCAGTGCAAGGTCGTTGTAACTTTGTTATTATATTTAAGATTGTCTCAATGCTTGTCCCATACAATGCTAGGGAGTTGAGTTGAGCCAAGAATTGACATCACAGAACTCAGGGCATTCCCATGCATGCTCTGTCCTCATCTTCAGCAGCCAGCGCAGAGTTTCACGACTGATGGTAATGGTCACAGTCTGGTTATATGTTCGTCTTGCCTTTCCTCTGAGTGTAGTGAGCGAGTTAGACCCTCTGGTTACACCCAGGTGCCTCATTCTCTCCAGGTCATAATAATCTTCTTTCTCTACTCATTCCGTTGCTTGTTCCCAAAGGGCCTTGACCACATCTGCCTTGTCATGTATTAATTCACCTCCCAGTAGTGCAGATCCAGCCAATCTGTCAGCCTGTTCATTATCCACTACACCAGCATGGCCTGGAGAAAAGTTCCAAAGTATGCTCACTATCCGTGACGTTCCCAGTGAAGCTTGCCACTCTGCTCGAAGTATACCTGTCTTCACCTTTCTCAGCATGCCTTCAGAGTCTGTTACAATTACGACATTAGCATGCATCCTGTTCTCTAGCCACCAGAGAGGTGCAGTTACCGCCTCCACCTCCATTCTCATACTAAATGTTGTGATGTTGTATGCTAGGCTGTCTTGCACTAAAGATTTTCCATTGGCTTTCACTACGAACCTTCAAGCACTTCTCTTTCCTCTCAACACCGAACCATCTGTATAGATAATTAGATCACCTAGGCATGATTTGTCGTGAATCAACTGTTGGACTTCAATCTTCGTAGCACCCGCTGGCCACTGTCTGCATTCTCGGCCGAATGTGATCATAAACTTACACAGGTCAGACTTTTCCTCTGGTACTCTGACCCACTCCTCTCCTTGCCCAATGTTCTCCAGCATGCATACTTGTCATATTGTGTCTTCTGCTTGAGCCATCCACGATTTCCCCCTTTTCAGCCTCTGACCCTTACCTGCAGCCAAAGCTTCACACAGAGAGTGTTCTTTGTCTGCAGCTACTCTTAGGAATGACTTAGCCTGCAGCACCTTTAGCTAATCTGCAATAGTCGGCAATACAAGGATGTATCACATGCACACAATCGGGTGTCTCTTGTACATCCCCAGGATTACCCGCACAGATTCACACTGTATGCGCTCCAGTTTCTCTAGCTGACTCTTTGAGACAGTGAGTAACCCCGATCCATAATCAATCACTGAAATGATTAAGTGCTGGTAAAGTGTGAATAGCATTCTCTGCTTCATCTCCATCGCTGCCATAATCTTTAGTGCGTTAAGACCTTTTTAAGCCTTTGTCACAACCCTCTCTTTGTGATCCTTGAAAGACAAACTTCTGTCAAAGGTTCTTCTTCTTCTTCTTGTTCACCGGCTGTGAATTCCGGCGGTAAGTCACGGTTGTTCGTCCAAAATGGACTTTTGGCTTTTACCTTGACCTGAGTTTTGCGTGTACATCCGTTTTACTGGCTTATTTGTTTGCAGTACTCGTTCCCCGCCTCTCCGGCAGATGTACTCCGACTTCGGAGGAAGACGTCAAGCCTATTTCTAGGTTGACTGTGGCCATTGTTTTGTGTGGGTCGAGATGTTGCCTTATTTGTGTGGTGTCCTCTTTGACTTTTAACAGGTGTGGCCCCCGGCATGTCGTCCTTAAGGCAGCTCTATGTAGAGTTTTCAGCCCTCAAGGGAAGGCAGGGGCAGATCATGGGCATTCACCGCCATCCAAGGAGGCTTCCATAAATGCAGAGCCGACACATGATGCTCTGGTTCTGGGCTCACCCAAGGAATCGTCACGTCCAGCCCATGACTGCTTAACCTCACAACCGTGTATTGAGCTTCCCTCGCTATAAGGCTGCGCTCTCCGGAGATCAGCGGGGAGCAGCCCGCAGGTCTAGGACGTTTGTGGCCACACAAATAGGTACATTCTTTTTCATCTTACGTTAGACACCTTTAACGTTGTTTCAGCTGTGCCCTTAGCACGACAGAATGGGGAAGCAAAATGTGTCAGACGTGGCTTCACCTGTTTGGTCCCAACACTCGGGCGAGTTGGACCAGCGGATACGGACATTCAGACTTTTCCTAATCGGTACGAGTTATGATCGTCGGACTTTGAGCTTGCATGTGTGCCGTGGGGTGTAACTTTGTCGGACATTGTTTTCAAGCCAGCATATGAATAGTTGCTGCCATGGTGTGTACCTCAGCGCGGTGACGACGACACTGAGGATTGACAGAGGATGTACGTAGGTGGGATCTTGCTGCGAGAAGTCGCCCACAAGAGATGTTACTCGTCTTGGCTGCGGGTAAATCTCTCGGTAAGGGTTGAGTCTCAGCAGCACAGTTTTCCATTCGCTCCCGAATTTTAACCAAGAGTTGTCATTTGATGGTACATTTAGCAAGCAGTCCTTGAGTTTTGTTACTTTTCACCCATGCGTTTGAGGGCGGGCTGGTGAGAGCCAGAAAGGACTCTACACCTCTAGGGGCCGCCAGCTCCGAGATCCCCTGCCAACTCTGTTAATGCTCATTTGAGACATTATCCGTGGCGCACGACGGGGACGTGCAACAGGAGTCTTGCATGAGGTTCCGTAAAACCAGAACAGTAAAGGACTGGCGCCCGAGTGGGGTACGGAATATCTCCTTATACACATCACATCAGACTTAACTTCCCCTCATGCCTGTGACCGAAATCACCGCGCCACCTGTCAAAGGTGATACGCAGGTACCGCAGTCTGCTGTCTCTTTTATGACCCTGCCATTTATTTTGAGTCTGGGAATATCTGCTCTAACAATCCTGTTGTCCAAAGAACACCACAGGATGGTTGCCTTTTCTGGGTTGATTACAGCACTCATCTCTGTACACCAGTTGATCACCTTATCTACTGTCATCTGTAACTCTTTAGCTATTTGATCCCAATCTCTCCCATTCCTATATACGAGAACATCATCTGCTAATGTCAATATTCTGCCAAATCCAGGTGTTCTCAGGTATGCAATCTTGTTCATAACATCATCTGCTAATGTCAATATTCTGCCAACTCCAGGTGTTCTCAGGTATGCAATCTTGTTCATAAAAACACTGAACAGCACAGGTGAAATTGGTTTAGTTCTACCTTAAAGCTCTACATTAATAATCCGATCATACCATTCAACTCCCGCTATTCTGTGCATGCACCAGTTAATGAATGTTAGCAACTGCTTTCATTGTTTCTGATGCATACAGCAGACACAAGAACCTCATCTGATTGTAACACAGAAACCAAACCTACTATATTCTAATACAAATTGGATGGAGGATAAGCATAATATCTAAAGACACAGAAGCAGCCTGCGACACAGTTTATGGGTTATTTGTTGCACATTATAAGACAAAACAAACAAAGCAATGAAAGGAACATGACCACCAATTTAACTGACGCAATATACCATATAAATACAACATTAAAGAAAATAAAGGGATGATGGAAGTTGGTTGGCACCTTTCTATTTTTCCAGTAGTAGATGGACCACAGAAATATCAGAGACACTGAAAATTACTTTATACGAAGTGAGCACAAGAGCCCGTTCTAGAGATCTCTTCCTGCCATGATGCCACCAGGCATTCCTAAGATAGAGAAAAGACGAAGAAGAAGAAGTGTTATACTGTGCTAGAGGGAGGTAATGGAAAGCACAGTACAATGACGAGTGTGACTAGCAAAGTAGTCCAGGTTCGGCTGCCAGTTGTGGTAGTCTATTCTCCAATTAATATGACTGTAGGGGTTTAACCAGTCTCATTAAACAAAATATTAAAATAAATAACTTCAATAAATAAATGACCACCTTTACCTCCTCAAACCTTCATCTTAGATTGCACCTGAGGAAGTTTCAAAATCTGCCTAAATGGCATTAGCAGCAGATCATTTCTAAGAAAGCTACCCATTCAATTTCACTTTTCTCTGACCCAGTACATGTGGAGAACTAAAACTATGGTTACACCTGCCATGGGGTTCCTACTGAATGTCAATAAATAATGAACAAATCATATCTATAAGTTTCTAACAACCTTTTTAGCAACTGACACAATTAAAGAAACCTTACCATATTTTGGGTCCTGTTGCCTTTCCGAGCCCGCAACGTCTGCTTGAGACCCACTGCTGGGTGCTTCCATATTATATAAGATCTCACACAGTTCCTACAAAGTTAACAGGACTGAATTGCGCAAAACCATATTTTTTAAACAAATATTATATTTTACATCCACTAGCTTTTTTAACTCTTTGCCCTTTATCATCATCAAGTGCCTTGCAGTCTGGCATAAGTGATAATTTTTCTTCACATCTTGCAATCTTCAACAGCATGTATAAGTCTGTGTGCTGAAACTCTTCCATGCTATGACAAAACACATCCAAGAATTCTTATCCTTAGTCATTATATTTTGTAACAAGTGGTAGCAATGAAGACTACTTGTATTTTGTTCATAATTAGTACAAATTTCAGGCACAAGCATGACAAACAGCAGCAACAACAACAAAATACTGTAAATGGAATTTAGACAAAAGTAGCCCAAGTGTAATTACAGCTCAAGAAAGTAAACAACAGTAACCCATTAATCTACCATGCATACAATAAAATGTAAATAAGGATGGATAGTGTGAAAGAGGCCAAAATCCAGCCAATCGCTAATAGGTGCAAACAAGCTTGCATTTGGTTGGTTGAGGGTTCAATGCTTTGGTAGAAGATGAAAGGCAGAGCAAAAAAAAAAAAAAAACGAAAGGCACATATGAATTTTTATTTGATCTCAAACACTATTCATCTAACTAAGGAATTTGGAAAGTCATTCTCTTCACTACTTAACCAACAATGTACACCTGAAGAGTTATCTTTTGATCTCTGGGACTCCGAATTATTGACACTCAATGTGTCAACATCCATCCCGAACCTGGGAAACAAAGATGCTGAGCCCGCTTTAGTGAAGAAAGCACTCACAATGGAACACCTCAACAACATGTTCCCACAGGACAGCTTGACGAGAATCTACATGGATGGATCAGCAAAAGAGGCAACTACGAATGGTGGGGCAGGTGTTTACATAAAACACCCAGATGCCACTACTGTGTCCCTAGCAGCCCCCACCGGACGAACTTGCTCTAACTACAAGGCAGAGCTCTCAGCCCTTTTGATGGCAGCGCAGTATATGAACAATCTGCAAATTACCGCAGGCAGGATAGTTTTTCTGACTGACTCACTGTCAGCTATACAGGCCCTAGAGTCCAAACCTACCGACAGCACACTACAAAGTCTAACACAGGAACTTGCTATGTTGTCAAATAAGGCAGAAATTCACTTGCAGTGGATTCCGTCTCACTGTATGAAAGCGCAGATACTTTAGCCAATGAAGGCAGTAACAAACCACAGACCTACCAGCCACTATCTTTTCTAGAAGTCAAAACTCTCATTAAGAGAAAATCAGAAACAGATTGGAAAAACAACACTGGTTATAACTACGGAAAAGATTTTCTGAAACACTTGAACAGAACAGACCAAGTCACAGTTTTTCGCTTACGCACTGGACACTGCAGACTCAATAAACACTCATATAAATTAGGTATGAGCCAAACAGCTCTCTGCCAGTGCCTTCGTGCTGAACAGACTCCAGAACATGTCCTGCAAGACTGTCCTCTCCTGGCGGAGCTGCGGAGCGACATATGGCAACACCCAGTAGAACTGACAACTAAGCTTTGGGGAAACCTAAGAGACCTTAAAAAGACATCCCAGTTTATGACCCACAGTGGATTATGCGCATGACCAGAGATCGCTGAAGAAGATCGCTGAAGAAGAAGAAACACTATTCCTCCCCATGTGGGTTCTGGGACCCCATTGTGGGGAAACAAGAATAGACCCACTGCCTCCCCAAAAAGCCTGTTGCAGGAATCTACCAATGGAAAGCTTCCTTTGAAACTGGAGTGCAACTGCCCGAGTGGCAAAGAACAAACAACTGCACAAGCTTCCTTTGAAGTCAGAGTGCATCTGCCTGAGTGGCAAGAAACAAACAACTGCACACAAGTAAGCCTGTATAACAGATGTACACGCAAAACTCAGGCCCCCGCAACAAATGAGTCCAAAAGGATGAACAACCAGGGCTTTCTGTTGGTAAATAAAGAAGAAGAAGAAACACTATTCCTATCATCTGAAGACACTGCATGATGTAATTATTTGTCTATAACAGAGGACACAGTCCTTACAGTACTGTTGTGTTGAAGTAATGTTGCAAAGTTATTCAGCTTTCAATCTCAGTACATATTTTCATATACATTTATTGCAACAAAATAATCTGATTTGTAAAAGTGTTATGTTTACATTTTTTAATGAGATCTTATATTGTACTTAAATTCCCTCAGCAAACCATGCGTGCAACCCTAAGCATATGTGCCATAGACTGCTGACACCTAGTCTATAACAATTTTAACAATGTTACCTTTGAAATTTTGCGAACCATCAGGTAGGGAACATTTCCGTGCAAAGGATGAGGTGGCCCTCCAAATTCTGAGGAATGCAAAAACTAAACATAAAGCAGACGATCAAATACAAAAGTTATGAGGAGACGAGGAATGAAAAGAGAGTTCCTGAAAGAAATAAGAGAGACCAAACAATTTCAACAGCATTAAAAGACATAAGACTCTTATAAAAATCATAGTGGAGAAAAAAGTTGAAGGAAAGTTAGCAAGTGGCAGACAAGTAGGAAGATAACATCAACAAATATAATGAACAGCAGTCTGAGCACATCAAGAGTGAAAGACTTATCGGAGATCAACGCAGCCAACCTTCATTGTGAAGATGGGATATAAATGACGGATTGAAAGCATACAATTACATAAGTTGTAACCATGTTTCTAGGAAAGCATATGTAAACATGAATGTGTTCACAAATACATAAATTTACTTGACTTCATTTCTCCACATGACACCTGACGTGGTTGTACAGTCAGCTTCTCCTTCTTCTTCTTCTCTGTGTTCACCAGCAGTAAACTCTGGCAGACTGCTCTGGTTGCTCATACACTTCTGGACTCTAGTCTTGTTCCAGAAACTGAGCTATGCGTGCACATCTGTTTTACAGATCTGGCTTATTTTTAAGCAGACTGTTGGTTCCTTGCCTGTCAGGAAGATGCACTTTGACTTTGAAGGAAACAAGATAATTAGTCGTCTTTTACGACATGCTTGGGGGGGATATCTATCCTTGTGTTCTCCACAGTAGGGCCCAGAAATCCACATGGGGAAGTACATACAGCAAATTATAACTATTTTATAATCTTGTTCTTCTTGGCGTTCACCAGCTGTAAACCCTGCCGGAAAGTTCTGGTTTTTCGCCCACCTCTGGACTTTAGTCCTGTACCTGAACCTGAGTGTTGCGGCATCTATTTTACAGGTCTGGCTTATTTATATGCAGACTGTTGGTTGCTTGTCTCTCAGGGAGATTCACTCAGATTTTAAAGGAAGCTAGTCTCTTATGACATGCTTGATGGGGAGGCAGTGGGGCTATTCTTGTCCCCCCCCCCTCCCCCCCCCCCCCTCAACAATGGGGTTCTAGAACTCCTACTGAGAACTTTTTTTAATAATGTTAAACAATGATATGGTATTTATTCTTGCCGACTGAAGAGATATCCCTGTGTGGGTTCCAGGGTTCCATTGTGTGTGTGTGTGTGCGCGCGCGCATGTGTGTGTGTGCGTGTATGTTCGCGGGCGTGCGTGTGTGTGTGGGGGGGAGACTTACTACTACAGAAGCAGTCTGGATTGTCAAATTTTCTGCTTCGCCTAGGAAAATCTCCAAAAACTGTATCTAGAATGTTAGAACTATGTGTAATATGGGCTGGACATTGTGGGAGCTGCATGAGATAGCAAATTATAGATCTGGTATTCTACATGCCATATGCAGAATCGCAGATTCATGTTCTGTTGTAATATGACGAAGAACAAGCTAATGTTATCAAACTTCAAATGAAATTCACAAAATTATGGTATGTCTTTGTCAGCTTGTCGCCCATCATTTATCCCTCATTCCTTGGAAAACTTTGGCAGCAAAATCTTATCAATCAGGAACAAGCCTACAAAATGTTTGGCCTGACTTGGTTGTTGGCCTAGGTTCCACCGTGAGATAAAAGACAGCAGAAGAAGAATACTTCTTTTTCTGGGCTTTCTTTGGCTGTAAACTCTGGCAAACAATTCTGGTTTTTTTTTGTCCACTTCTAGACTTTGGTCTTGTTCCGGAACTTGAGTTTTGCATGCACCTCTATTTTAAAGATCTGGCTTATTTATATGCAGACTGTTGGTTTCTTGCTTCTCAGGCAGATGTTCACTTGACTTCAAAGAGAACTCCTCTAATTAGGGCAACTCCCCTAATCAGCTACTTCTTAAGACATACTTATTGAAAAAAAAGGGGTAGTGGGGAGGGGGGTTAGAACCTATTCTTTTTTTTTCTCCTCCCATAATGGAGCCTCATAATTCCACATGGGACTAAAGGACAGAAATTCCAAAATGGTTTCTTAAGTTCTAATAGAGAAATGACGCGATGCTGCATGTGTTTACTTACTCATGCATTCCTTAATGATGTCCGAGTGCTTCCTCAGACCAAGCTGGAAATCTCTGCTGCCATTCTTGGCAATATGTGCCATCAGTTTCAGAACCTGCGGGTAGCAAATTGTCATGTCTGATTAAGGTCATTTTTTGCAATAATGCTATATTTACTTTTTTATGTGAAAAATTTATGTATTTAAGTAAGAAGACTACATCGCGACAGGATCATACTTTAGCTCTCCAGAAGATGACTTCGATGCCAGTCAGGACAATATTTGGGTCTGTCTCCTTTGATTGTCGACATCTATGGCTAAGGCTTTGTTAACAAGAACTTTGTAATGCCGGGTTTGAACCCAACTGTGGGCCTTGCGCTGGTTTCGACAATGGTATTGAGAAGCCGACTGTCCAGAAAGCAATGGCAAACTACTGGACAGAAATTTGCCAAGAAAAACTACAACAGCAAAAAAAATGCTGGAGTTGGTTCTGCAATGTCCTGTAAAGGATATTCAACCAACTTAACTCCTTTGATCACATCAACACTACAGGAGTTCTGTTTAGGGCTCTTGGGGGCATGGAATACTAACCCATATTATATGGCTCACATAACCTAGTCATAATTATAATCTAAAGTTCCCCCTTCGGGGATGTTAGCCGAATATGACGATTTTCCCCCCAGAAAAGCATCTACCTATCGACTGAGACTGCTGAGTTCAACTTCAAGCAAGCTTGCAAGTATTTTAAAATTGTGGATGATATAATTTTCTACATTTAAAAAATAATTCTGTATTCTAATTTCTTAAATGTAATAATTTTATAAATACAAAGACAGCAAATCGAATGATTTGCTCACTCAGAGAGTATGCCTTAGGATGCCCTACCATACAGGGCATACACCAGAAGAGGAGAAAAATGTAGAGCATAAGGTAGACCAAGAACAAGATGGAAAGACAACATCAGAGAAACTCTACAAACAGCACAATGCGTCTATGGTCGAGGCAGCTAGAAAAACATTTAGTCTCACAGCGTGTCCAACATATCTCCATCTTCTTTGTCTTATTACATTCAATATAAGTATTTGTCCAGATATTTCTCGGATCTAATTTGGGGGGGGGGAGGGGGGAATAATTCATACCATTTTATGCTCATGATTTTTCTCAGACATTTCCAAAGTATTTAACTTTTGGCATCTGAGGCAGATGCCAAACTTTTAAGCCACCCTGGCCCCTGATCCTAAAAGGCCATGCCAGTTGGTTTAACAACAGTGTTTACTCACATTCAAACATATGAAACTAAATGTATCACTCATCTGTTGATATTTTTAATGCCATGATGTAAAGCAGTGGAAAAATCTTATCTGACCATTGTTTTCTATAACACAATTCTTTCCCAACCTCCCAAATCTTTCCCATTGTTGAAATTTTCATAATGTGGCCCATAAATTGCTGACTACTTCTTTGGAGACATTTAGACTGCTCATGTTTGTGTCAACTTACTGTCACCATTCTTTTACTGTAAAACCCATCTCTGTGGCTTGTGTGTGCATGCTTAATGAACCCTTTTGCAGGAATGTTTAATGTTGAATTGAGAATTAACATCATATCACTCGGGGCACTCCCATTAGCACCCTGTACCCATCTTCAGCAGCAAATTATAGAGTTTCAAATCCAAAGGTATCAGTAACTATCTGATTGTACATCCATCTCACCTTCCCTTTTAGTGTCGGCCAGGTCCCCTAGTAACTCCCCGCAGCGCCATTCTCCTCAGACCGTAATGATCTATTTGTGCCTCTGCACTGTTCCCTCGCTCCCAAAGGGCCCTACTATCTAGCTTATCATACATCAATTCACCACCAAGTGGTGCAGAACTGGCCGGTCTATCTGCCTGCCCATTTACAACACACCAGACCCTTATGCAGGGCTTCTTTCCTGGTGGTACAATACTGGCACCTTTTTCAGACATTTGTTTTCAGTGGCATTGTAATGAACACCTTGTAATAAATACCACTACCTTTTTAGAAGCTTTGTGGTGAGTACCAGCACCTTTTTCCCCAGGAAAAAAAAGCCCTGTCTTTACTTATCCACAAAGATCAACATAATAACCTATAATAACTGTAATAAAAACATGCACTTTTTAATGTAAGTACACTTGCGATAATATTCAGTTACTTTAAACTTCACATGACATGATCTGCTCTTCAGTCTGTCCACCAGAAATTCAACAAGGCTGTCACAGTACCCCACAGATTCAAAGCTGATGTCTGTAAATATTGTTGACAAGTTTTGTTAATTTAAACAAAAATTAAAACATAAATAATGTCACATGATTATTTATTTGTTAGCTCAATTATGCTGAAAATATAAGTTCTAATTAGAAGAACAGAAAAACATAAGTAATTGTAATTAGAAAGACAAAAAATTAATTCTAAAATTCACAATTAAAGTACATGGGACAAGTCTGAAGCAGGTCAATATGATAAAGTACTTAGTTACCATGATAACAGCAGATGGAAAATGCATTAAAGAAGTCAAATGTAGAAGAGCTTAAGAGTATTTCACAGGATGAAGAATATTCTACTCTTCCTATCTTTGACAAGTAAGGTGAGAAAGAGAGTTCTTAAGAGCAATATTTTGAATCAATCCTGCTTTATGGAAGTGAATCTTGGGAATTCTAACAATCAGTAAAAATCAACATTTGCTGTATATCTCTTCTTGCAGGGGTCGCAAACCAGATAGTGTGCTTAAGGTTTTCACTGGATCCCACAGTACACACCTGGTAATGTGGGTGTAAAGGGAAATGAGCGAGTGGACCAACTGGCAAGCATTGCACTAAGGCATGTGGGACAGAGCAGATATCGTCAACACTGTACGGACTGGGTTAGTGGATAATGAGGAACCTGACACTAACACGATTGCGTGACATGAGAGTAAAGCATGGTGAAGCACGTCTATGCCATCTTCGAGGCCGAGATAGGAGACAATATAACCAGCTTCTCATGGAAACAATTAGTAGAAGAACTCTGGAGTGGCTGCTGCATCGGAGGACTGAGCAAGGATGGGAATGCCCAATGTGCAGTGACGTCGATTGTGATAACATAACAATAACTGGATCCCCCATAATCTGACAGTTTGTCTCGATGTGTCCCTCCCGTGAATCTAATAGCATCAGTCTGACTAGAAAGTGATTTTTAGCAAACATACAGTGCATCACATGTTATCATACTAAAGTACAAAATAATATAAGAATTAATCATCAAAGTAGGTAAATTTTTTTTTTAACTTATGACAATTTAAAGTAGTGGTCTCCAACCGTTTTTCAGGTCGAATCCCCCCCTCCCCCCTTTTCATCGACTATATAGCAAGAACCCCCCACCCCACAACTAAATAACAAGACCCATGCACCCCCTTCCCCTTGAGAATATGGCCCCAAAAAATCACACCCCCCAATAAGTATATGACAAGGGATTTCCCCCCCCCCCCCCCCCCCCCAACATAACAAAATTAGATTTAAAAGAGGAGGACAATAGATTCCACATCAAGAGAAACAGACTGTATGGAGATATGTTTTGGTCAGAATGTGTTCTTAACCTATAAATGCCTGTGATATCATAATAATTAGATTTTTAACTGTAGATGTACAAACTGCTTATGAAAGCAAAGAAAAAAATATCCTTGGCTTTTTTTTTTATAATTAGTTTTAAAATTTTTTTATTATTTTATTTATAATTATACTGAAACAAATAAAATAACGGATTATTACAAATACCAATGTGCTCTATTTTAAAATTGCTTGACCCCTCCCCCCTTTCTAAAACCTCCTCACCCATAAAACTTACATTTCAAGACACCACAAATTAGCTTTTCCAGTCCCATGTAAAACATTGTGTAATCAGTGATGGTCCAAGCTATGCATGGTGTGTTGTTATATTAATTTTTCATATTTGGCTTGAACATGCTACAGATATCTGCTCAGATATTGTTCATATGCAGTACAGTATATGTTGCCTCTATGAAAGTAATTCATTCAATTTTTTAATGGTGATTACTATGCCAGTTTGGCATCTTCTGAGAAATCTTTTGGGACTAGAATAGTTAACAGATGCCAATTTTTAAAGTTTTCCTTTTCTCATAAAACTAATCAGTTAAGTTATCTGACAGATTATCCTCAATGCACAAAGAACCATTCAGTCTGTAAGTGCTTGAATCCCTTCAGTAAATCCAACAGTGTGCAGCAACTGATGACTCCCATTCTGTGTTGGTTTCTTATTCTTCTTTAGCTTCCTGCATACTGCTCATGTCTGCCCACACGGCTTTTAACATGCTTTCTTGCAGTCTGGTCATGGCTGCATGTTCACGTCATCACTCGGTTTCCACAAGCGGTTTACATCTTGTACAGCATTCAGAATATCAACCCAGTCCATGGCTCATCCACCCTCCACAGTAGCTTTACCTGCAAGCCTATCAGCTTGCTCATTTCCTTGCACACCTGCAGTCCCTAGCACAAATATGAAACTGATAGCTGTCAGTCCCGACCATTTCAGAGACTTCAACCACTGTCTTCGGACACAGCCCATCTTATATCTTCCTGAGACCAATCATTGAGTCACTGAAGAAGCAAGCATGGGAAAAGGTCTGTGTCTCCAGTCATGTTATTGCTTTGGTCCCTGCCATGACATCCATAGTCAGACTACTTGTGGTCAAGGCAGCAGCACCAGAATCCTGCTTCATAATTCTAACTCCAATCTGAGCCGTTAAAGCCCACTTCTCACACAAGGAGCCACAGACCCATCTATGTAAATGACAGCATCCCTGTCTAGAGAATTCTCAAAATTCAAAGCCTGCACTTCTGCTTCCACGGCTGCCGGATTTTCTTGTCCGCATTTTCTGCCTAGACAGATGCAAACAGAAAAGGTCACTTGTACCCATTCCTCCCCAGGTTCTATGTCCTCAAGTGAACACACCTGCTGAATAATGTCCTCGTCCTGACCCATCCACGATTTTCCTATTTTTAACCTGCTGCCTTTTTCATCTCAAATTAACTATGCAGCAGGTGTCATGTGTATGTGATGACTCTAGGGCCGTGCACAGCAAATATTTATACTTTCCTCCATGGTTGGAAAATTAAAAAGATAGCGCATCACCCAAGTAATTGCATACAGAAAGACTGAAAGGACCAGACCCTGATATAGAAGAAAAAAATATCCCTGCTCATAGTTTGCCACCACCATCACTCTCATCGCAGCCTAGCCACGCTTGGCTTTTATTATCCCCCGCTCTAAGTGCTTAGTATAAGCAAGGCTTCAATTAAAATGTATACCCAGGTATTTAATTGCCCGTGTTCTTTCCACAATCTCTGAGCACAAACTTGAACTACACTCTCTCATTAGAACTACACTTCCTGTATGATTTCAGAGGGCCCCTTTGTTTAGGGAAACAAATTTAGACCCACTGCCTTTTAATAATATCAAGAAAAGATATAAACCCGAATGAAAAGTATATTAGCAAGCTTCACAATATAACAAATACAGACAAAACGTGAACGTTGCGGCTATTGAGCCTTCATCAAACAATGCTACATAGATACACAAAATCACTTAGCTGGTATCTCGATGCGGCCAGGTGGGTTGTTACTCAGCAAAATGACCACACGTGTCAGCTGGGAGAATAAGTACACCCCTGTGGAGTATCAGGGGCCATAACTGGGGTGTAGGGGTTGAAACTGTGAGGGCAGTTCAATCCCCTGTCTTTTAATAAGCATGTTGTAAAAGCGGACTAATTGTGAGTTTGCTGACAATGGATATGCTGGGTCAAAAGGTATGGACAATGCAGCCTAGCTGTTGATAGCACTAAACACCAGCTGCCATTTTAAAAGCTAATGCAGAAAAAGATTGAAACTACACATACCATTAATGTCTTTGTACAAATAACCAGCCGTAGGACTTTCGTCATCAGATGTTGCTTTTAGAATTATTCCAATCTAAAAAAAAAAAAAAAAAAAATTTCACTTAGATTAACACAATGAATACTAAAAGATAAGGAATGAGATTCATTAAAATACAAAACAGTTAAAACCATCTAATGAAAAATGTTATGCCAGCTTCACAATTCCCTGGATCGTAAGCTGTCTTGCAATCTGTCACTCTATAGTTTTTAACTTGACTGTAAATATTTTATAGTGGAGCCCTGTGTCAAGCATGTTAAACATTTTGGATGCCATCTAACTTATAGTTATCAGAATTTATTCACCATTAAATGTGATTGTATTCAAAATTTGAAATACACTGCCACTGCGCACACCTATGGATTAGCTGCTCTTTGTAGGTGAGTGTGTACTATTTGTGTGTTGTTCATTTCTTGCTGTTGTAGATTTCAAAAATATAACTCATATAACAGTAGTATTTTACTATGTATTTAAACATAATTACACAAAATGCTCCACCAATGTGACCTAATGGATGAAATTTACGAATGAAGGCTGAAGGTGTTCAGGTAAAAATGTAGTAGACAGAAAATTATATGAACTCTAAATAATGACAGATGCATGAAAAAATACTACAATGGTTGTGGATTTGTAAAAAAATAACTTACATAACATTATTAATTAAGTAAGCATTTTAAGTTAGTTACTAAAGAATCTCAAAAAAGCGACTATGATGGCCAAAATTCATTATCAGGATTTGGGGGTGATGACATAAAAATATCTCTAACAGAAATTTCTATGAACTCTAAATAATGATAGATGCATCAAAAAAAATGATACAATAGTTGTGGATTTTTAAAACAATAACATTATTAATTTAGTAAGCATTTAAAATTATTTACTTAAAACAGTTCTGAAAATGCCACCATGATGGATGTGAATGGCATAACACAGCAGACTGATGGGAGAACAACATTTAAATGTTTTAAATTAGATCAGATTATGAAATTAAATCATGAATCAATATTTTAATTATTTCTTTTTCATGTCCTCTTTTACCGCTTCAGGGTCGAGGGAGATATAAGGTCCTGCTTCGTGCTCTTCTGGCTGCTTCGACCGTAGACACATTATGGTGCTGTAGAGTTTATCTGTGGTTATCTTTCCATATGTTCTTGGTCTACCTCTTGATCTGCATTGCTTTGCGTCCTTCTCCTATTTTGGTATATGCCTTGTATGGTATAGCATCAGAAGGCATTCTCTCCAAGTAGGCAAACCATTTGATTTGCTGTCTTTGTATGTAATTTAGAATAGGTTCTGTGCCGACTTTATCTCGTATGACCTCATACTTGATTTTATCTCGTCTAGTAGTTACTCCTACAGTCTTTCTCAGACACCTCCTTTCCATGGTTACTAGTTTTCTTTTATGTTTTGTTGTGCATGATCATGTCTGGCACTGACAGAATAGGGTGAGAATAAATATGCTTTGTTTAAAATGTCTCTTTGTGCTGGCTGGGATTGTCTTATGCTATAACAGGGGAGCTAGCTGTCCCAATACTTGGCCTGCTTTAGTGCAACAGATGTTAATTTCTTCCACAAACTTACCATCTTCAGTGAATATTGTTCCAAGATATTTAAATTCAGATGCCTGTTTAATATATGTCTGCTCTAGTGCTATGTTTAAATCCTGCTTCTTTCTTCCTATTGACATTACTTCTGTCTTTTTGATATTGATTCTCATGTTATTTGATTAACATTCTTCATTCATGGATGTGAGATGATGATTTAAATTCATGTCTGTATCTGCAATCAAGGCCTGGTCATCAGCAAAGAGTATTTCTTTGATGGTACTATTATTTTTATTCCTGGGCTTGGCATTGTAGCTTATACTGTTAATGCAGGTGATAAACAGGAGTAGTGATAAGACATATCCCTGGGCTATCCTCCGAATAAGGTTCCTAAATTATCAAGGCCAAAAATATACCCTAAAAGGGTCTCAGTCACATGTAAATTGCGGACCTCTTCTGGCGACTACACAGCATACTGCGAAAAAGCTTCCGCTGAGTTGAAGTCACTGCCGAGAGTATCTCCCGCGCCGCTACATGATGAGCGGGGCTAAACTAGATGGCTGGGATTCATGAGCAGCAGCTACTGCATCTTATTTAGCTTCCTCTATTTTATTTGCTCGTGAGTTTAGCCCCACTCTGCGCTGCCCGTAGTGGCGCGGGAGATACTTTCGGCAGTGGCGGTATAGTTTTTGAAAAAGATCCGCAATTTACATGTGACTGAGGCTCTGTTAGGGTATATTTTCGGCCTCCATAATTTGGGACCGTTATTCGGAGGATAGCCCATCCCTGTCTTACTCCAGATGTTTCTCTGAATGGTTTAGATGTTAGATTTTAATTCTTTATACACACAAAATTTGGCTCTTCTTTCACTACCGGATGGTAGCTAGACGGCTTAGGTCGGCTTAGTGGGAGTTCTCTCCCTTGGCCGCATTGCAAACAAGGAGCGGAAAAGTCACGAATCAAATGACATACTTACCTATCATCATAGGGTTGCGTGTAGGGTTGCGTACGGTTGCATAGTCATCATACGGTTGCGTCTAGGGTTACCTATCATCATACGGTTGCGTAGGGTGTCTATCATCATACGGTTGTGTGTAGGGTTGCGTAGGGTTTTGGTTAGGGTTAGGGATAGAGTTAGGGTTAGGGGTAGGGTTAGGGGGAAGGGTTAGGGGTAGGGTTAGATGTGAAAATTTTGACGTAGGAGTTCCAAATACTGGCAGACAATCTGATGCTTGTGGGAGTAGCACCACTGGAATTCTGCTAAATATGACGGCAACAGCGTGCGGCTGGTGCCCAATCGGTGGCGAATTGTCCGTGTCAGTAGCATCCACAGTCCGTCGACTGTTTGGCTGTGTATGTGACTGTGCGCGATTATAGGGAACTCCGGCATCAAAATTGTCACATCTAACGCTAAACCTAACCCTACCCCATACCTAACCCTACCTCTAACCACGCAAATTTATCGGTCATTAAAGCAAAGTCGGCAAAGTCCCAAAAAAAAAACCTTAGATTTTCCCGCAGCGTAAAAAAAAACACCCCAGATCTGGGGGGACACAACCAAGCATTGGCTGCCCTGATGTCGACCTCACTGACTTCTTTGATTCGTGACTTTTCCACTCCTTGTTTGCAATGCGGCCAAGGCAGAGAACTCCCACTAAGCCGACCTAAGCCGTCCAGCTACCGTCCGGTAGTGAAAGGAGAGCCCGAAATGTGTATTTCCTACAACTAAATTACTTCTGACATACAGATAGGACTCACTGCCCTGTGTTTATTGCCATAAAATACAAAGTCATTTAAACCCATTATTTTACAGGATCAAAGCTTGGAATCCATTTTTTTTTTTTTTTTGGTCAGCCTCCACTATAATTTGTCCATGGTGGTAGCTGCCACTAACCTACAGGCTTCACTGAGGCTATCGTTGAATTGGATATTTTAATCTATTTCCAGCTGTGATCCTTTATAAGAAGTTAAAATCCAAAATTTAAAACTTTACTAGCATCCTCTACCCAAAAAAAAAATCAGTTCATCTGAATATCACTTCGAGATAGAGGCAAGGTAGTGACTTGAAGAATAAATGGTAAACAAGGTACCGCTAAATCATTAGTTTTCAATAAATTAAATCCAAACTGTATCATATTAATAATATTATTATTTTTTTTTAAAACCTCTCTTATTTGCACACTAGCACTGACACTAGTAGCAGTCACTTGAGTCACTACGGTCTTACCTTGTTCACAAATGAAATTCTGTGTGGAGCTATGAGAGCAGTCATCGTTATCCGTTATGTTACAAAGTTACAGCGCTGAAAAACTGCAGAAGATATGTCTTAACAGTAAAAACGTAAATGGCAAGTTGAAAGACAAACAGTACATTTCTGCCAAATGACATCGGGGGAAGCTGTAAACTAGAAGTAAATTAAATTATCTCCTTCAACAAGAAAACCATTACAGACAATAACTATACTATAAATATTGGATAGGCTTGTAGTTTTGTATATTAATGAAATTATTTAAAATACACACACAAAATTATTATCTTTTGGCTTTAAACATTTAAACACAGATTATTAAAATCGTACCATATAAACTTGTGGATTTTGAGTGAAACAAACATTACTGCGATTTTTGTAATATGTAAAACAATAAATCAAATTATTAAAAACAAAGCCGACCCCCTATTTATGACAATAAGGGTGTGTACCACGTTACTTTGGTGTTGTTTTGTTGTCGTCGCTGTTTGCAATAAGCACACATCCTTTTGTTGAAGTAATTTGTTGCTGCTGCTGCTGTATACTGCATACATATTCGTATTTTATTGTAAGCATGTTTTTGTGTGTGCAAGCCTTAAAGGGGTACCAGGTTAAGACGTTGAATTGAGAATCGACATCACACAGCACTCCAGACACTCCCATAAGCGCTTCGTCCCCCTCTTCAGCAGCAAGCAAGGAGTTCCAATTTCCTAAGCACCTGTAACTGTCTGATTATATGTCCTTGAGTGTTGAGCGTCGGCCAGATTCTCTGGTAACCGCTTGCGGTGCCATTCTCCTCAGCTCAGACCGTAATGATCTCTTTGTGCCTCTATACTGTTCACTCATTCTCAAAGGCCTCTTGCAACATCTACCTTGGCATACATCATTTCGCCACCAAGTAGTGCAAAACCGGCCAGTCTATCTACCTGCTTATTTCCCAACACACCAGCATAACCTGGAGAAAGGTTAACTACCTGGGACCTCTGAAGTGATGCTTGCCACTCTGCACTGAGTATGACTGTCTCCCCCTTTCTCAACATGCTGTGTTAGTCAGTTGCAATTATGACATGTGTGTACAACTGATTCTCAAGCCAGCGAAAAGCAGCAGTGCATCAGACTCTCAACACAGAGCCATCTATATAAATAATTACCTAAATGCGATACAGACTTGCACTGCCTACTGTTGCAGACAGGCTCAAAGTTCTGCAAACAAAGCCATATCTCAGAGTAGCTGCAGACAAGAAGTGCCTCCTTCATGAAGCCACAGGAAGAGGTAAGGGCCACAGACTGAAAAGAAGAAGGTCTTGGATGGTGCAAGCTGAAGACACAATTACACATGTGCAGGCTTGATAAATCTGGGCAAGGAGAGGAGTGGGCCAAAGTGTCTGAGCAAGAGTCAGACTTGTGTAGGGTTCCAATCACTTTAGGACATAAGTGGAGGGACTGGCTAGCTGCTGCTGCAGAATCAGGTAAAGTAAAGGTGACTGGTGTGATATTGACCACATTAATGAGGGTCCAAATCAGGGCTATTCAACTAAGTTAACTGAGGGGCCAACATTTCTATAGTGGGGATCGTCAAGGGCCAGAGGCCTGACCTCAGTTTAGAAAGATCATAATACAACGCAGTTAGTGATTATCTGCGGCCACTCGCTAGGCTCCACAAGACAGATTTGGCACTCAGGCCACCAGTTGAATAGCCCTGGTCTATATCATGAATCTAGCCTGATGTGCCATTGGTTGGAATTAGGAAACATTTACTTTACTCTTTTTTTTTCCCCTTTTTTTTTAAATTTTTTGCAAATAGGCTATTCCAGGCATTCCATCTTAGCTTCATTAATCAGTAGCTGATTATATTTATAATTTATGATTTTTTGTAATTGTGGAGGGTAGCTGAGTATTAGTAGTGTAGTACATTAGTGTGGCTATGGGTGTTCATTAATTCATTATCCTGTTGTGCCATTGTATGTCTATTCCTCCGTTCTGTTATATCCTGTACAGTCAATTTAGTATCATTGTATGGAGTCTAGTTCAGCACCTTTGGCCTTTCTCATCAGTGTTCATTTTAGGGTTTTTCAAGGGCATCATTAAGTACCTGTGTAGAGAGCTGCGTGGCCTCAAGGCATGGTGTCCGCCAGAGAGCTAGAGGTTCCGGGTTCAATCCTCAGTAAGAGCTTGGATTTTTTCAACGTGGACTTGGACTTATAGTAATTCCCACTGGTCTCTGGGTAGTGAGATTGGACGCCCGTGTGTATTGTTGCGCACGTAAAAAATCTTTTGGCAGTTGGAAAGAGAAAAGTGTAGCCTAACAGCTCTGCCCGGGCAAAATTTAGAGTTAAAAATCGACCCAAAGTATTTCAGGATCCTCACAGGTGCTACAGAGCCTGTGCACTGTGCTGAGCTTCTTCAGACTCAGACGAGTTAGAAGAATGGAGCACTTATGGGTTACTAACCGTGTGCCATGATGTTGATCCGTTGTTCAAATTTTAGTGGCTGTTTAGTGATTCTGTGCTCGTTTCTCCTCAGGATATGTTCAATAAAGTGCCATTTTTTCGGTCTTATAATTGTTGATACTAGTGGTTGCCAAGAAATTTCTTTTGTTTCTTCACTCCCCTGAATTCATCCCATTTTATGTTGAACAATTTCCTTAGGCATTTGTTTTTGAATACATTGAACTTTTGTTTCCTGTCTTTATCCATTCTCCAACCTTCACTTCACATGTTAAAATTGAAATAACTTTAGTTACCAGACCAATATTGTGCAATCTTTCTGGGTGCTTTGTACGTTTTCTGGCCTAGAAACAGAGTGACTTCCCTTCCCATTCAAGCCTCATCAGGTCGCAGGACCTCTCCTATATATCCATACTCCGAACTGTCACGCAGGTAGGAGAACATTAAAATGTTTACGCAAGCGAGCCGTGGGAAGACAAGAAAAGAGCGAATGGTTAAAATGTTGGTGGTAAGGAATACATGACACCCCCCCAAATTTAGGAGAGGTCCTGCGACCTGACGAGGCATGAATGGGAAGAGAAGTCACTGTGTTTCTGGGTCAGAAAACATAAAAATGTAAAAAGAACCTTTTTCTGGATACATCGACTCACAGTGTCTCATTCTGAGTCTGTAATATGCTATTGTGCAAAGACATTTAAAAATGGACATATATTGCATGAACGGATATCAAGTATTAGCACTTCTTTGTTACAGAGACTTAGGCTTACATGCAAGGCTTTTTTTTTAAGAAAAAAAGCCAATACTCAACACTGAATATTTAAAAGGGTGTCGGTACTCACCAGAAAGTGTCTATTGTGGCAACATTGAAAAACATGATGCCTAAAAAAGTGCTGGTACTGCGTAACATTTGAACCTCCAGAAAAAGGCCCTGCTGACATGGATATGTTGCCATAATCATGACGGAAATATGAAACAATGAATGAGTGGATTTATTGGCTGCAAAAGCACCAATGTTAAGAACAATCAGAGTGAATAAAGCAACGGGTTATTAAGGCTGTGTGAGTGAATATTCAGAAATTTAAGTATCTAGGCACATGGATAACATCTGATGGAAGATGTATCACAGAGATAAAGAACAGAATAAGACAGGCCAAAACTGCATTTTATAAAATGAAGAACATTTTGTGCAATAAATCCATGTCATTGGAGGTTAGGAAAAGAATTCCTGCATGCTATATAGGGTCAGTTTTAACATACGGTTCTGAATCCTGGACAAAATAAACAAATCAAACTGTATTTTCAGGCCACAGAGATGTGGTGTTACTGAATAATCCTTAGAATTCATTAGACAGCTAAACCAGATGTTTTGAAAGAGGCGAGTGCTCGAAGAAAACATAAAAACTTATTACAGACATCAGAAAGAGACGGTCATTATTCTTTAGTCATGTTATGAGAAGAGGGAAGATGGAATGGAACATGTTGTGACCACTATAAAGATTTGTGGAAACAGAGTCAGAGGAAGACAGAATGAGAAGAATCTTAACAGTCTTTTGTCATGAAAGGGTGTCAATACACAAATTGATACACACATTTGTGAATCACAGAGTGTGGAGAGGCATGATTTCCCAAGCCAGCAAGGCACTTAATGATAATGAACAAATAATCTTTGCTAACTGAAAGTACTGTATTGATTGAAACAAAACATACTGAAAGGATGCATGAATGTGGAGTTAGGTATGCATCCGGTTAGTAGGAATGTATAAAAGGTACTCTGCAATATGTTTACAATCAGTTTTTTTGACCCGCTATAAAAACAGTAAATTAATTATATTGAGAATCAAGGATTTTGTGATGCGGACACCATTGGTGCCACTCAATACAGATGATCCAAAACGTAAAGTCAGTTTACTTAAATTATTTTATTCTCCATTTGTGCAAACAGGTATTAAAAGCAATGTTTTCCTAATGGAAATTTAAATAATCACATGTGAGATTAAATGTATAAGATATGTGGTGGGGAGTCGGCTCTGTGGCTAAGTTGATGCGAACACTTTGTGATGCCGGGTTCGATCCCAGGTTCGATCCCAGCTGCGGGCCATGCGCCTTGCATTGGTTTCGACAGTGGTATCATGAAAGCCGACCGTCCAGTAAGCAATGGCAAACTACTGGACGTAAATTTGCCTAGAAAAACCACACAACAGCCAGGGTCTGTTGGGGTTGATTTTGCAACGTCCTGTAAAGGATACGCAACTAACAGTGTATGGTGGGGGAAAAGCAAAAGAAGAAAAGATGAAAAACTGAGAAGAATTTAAGGCACATTACCAATAAATGATATAATTTAGCCTTAAAGAAAAAGATATTTTGGTCCTCTGGTCAGAATGGAATGAAAATCAGCTAGTAACTAGTGCGTACTATATGAGAACAGCAGGCTACAAGACTAGGGGCTGAACAAGAAAGAGATGGATGGATAGAGTTAAAAAAAATTTGTGACAAGTTTGCCCCTTCCTATTTCAGATTAGAAGTACAGCCTGGTTTACTGTTTTATTATCTGTTAATTAAATTTCTGAATAGGTAGCTAGAATGCTGTTGAAGGTGTTTCCCATGGGTGTTCAAAGAGTATTGTTACCTACCCCAAACAGGGGAAATCCATAGGTAATGGTACAGTTTAATATTTCAGGGGGTGATAGGCTGCATGCAGACGTGGGACCTAGGCTGCACTCTCTCTTTGGACATAGGTGAGTTGGGGTTAGGGCCAGTTCTAGATGTTTTGGGGTCATTAAAAGCCTCATAAAGCCGGGAAACTCAGTGTTACCACCCTCTAAAATGTTGGACTGTCCTGTGACGTCATCTGTGGTAAGATATTAATCAAGCACCCAGAAAAAAGACACTCAAAAAATCCGGAATGAAATTAAGACAAGCTACGCAGCTTGCAAAAAAAATACTGGCAACTACATCTAACTCCTCTCTGTGATGCTTTATGGCATAAATAGCAGGGGAAAGAAAGTTTTAAATAATGCAGATACAAACAATAAATTGTATGATTTACTGCCTGGCATATTTTGCTGTTTCTCATCCGGTACCATTGGTATTGGAACTCTGGGCTGGCTGCTGAAGATGAGGACGGAGCATGCATGGGAGTGCCCTGAGTGCTGTGATGTCAATTCTGAACTTAACTCAACTCAGCTCAACAGCTGAATGACTACAGAGTTAAATCAACATAAAACAACGCACAAAAATAAATTCTTTTCTCTGCAATACACAGATAACATTGTTGAGCTTTACTGTACATCTTCTCTGCCAAAACAAATGATAGGCTCCTAACAATCGTGTCATAAAAGGTAATAAATTAGGGACTTGCTGAAATGAGACGTGTTGGGCCAAAAAGGCATGGATTTTGCAGCCCAGCTCTAAACCAAAACACAGCACGCCAGCCACTCATTTATGGACGAACACAGAAGAAGAGGAAATTTGCTGTCGTGTGGATTTACTTGGCAATATTTCGCTCCGTAGTTTGCCCTACCATTGTCGAAATAAATGCAAAGTTGCCTATTACTAAATTACTTGCAGATGACCTCAAACCATGGTATGTTTAGGATTGTTAAATTGTGTTCACAGCTTTAAATGAGAGATGCCAACAACTTATGGTATTAAAAAAAAAGTAAAGGACCCTTTTCCACGCCTTTAGGCGTATAGGGCATATAGGGCTAGACCTATATTTTTATAGACCAATCGGCACAAGATGGGTGATGTGGTCAGCATCACGCCGGCCGCCTCTACTTCCCGGGGCTGCACCTGGTACCCACTCAAGGCTGGGTCGACCTGGGAGCCAAGGTCATTTTTGAAAATAGTCCGGCTCCGCCAGGGAGCAAACCCACGACCTTTCGATCCGCGGTGAGCGTCTAGCCGCTCGGCCACGGCGACCCCCAACTTATGATATACTGTGAGTTAATTTATATTTCAGCAATATTCCATCTTTTTTAACAGCCCAGGATATATTTCTGCTCACTGTTATTTTCTCGCCAGATATATCTGAAGTTGGAAAACCTTCAGCCTATAGGATCTTTCAAGCTGCGAGGAGCATGTAATGCGATCAAAACATTGCCCCCAGATGCAGTTAAAGCTGGTGTGTGCACAGCCAGTGCTGGTAACTTTGCGCAGGTAGGGTAATTTTGTTTTACTGTATTTACTAACAGTTTATGTAACCATAAACAACAGCGTGTGCACGCACACACATGCACATATTAAACAGTAATTTTTTTAATTAGTTACATAAGTTCGAAACAGTGGTTCATGGTTCTCTCTTGGGGAAGAGCTGGTCTTGCAAGTCATCCTCGTATCATCATGGGCTATGATTCATATGCCTCCCTACAAAAAAAAATAACCCTCATCTTGAAGGATGGAAAGATGACAACAACAGAATCATCTTAAGCCTGCTGGTAAACAAAGGCTGTCATGTTTCACTATCTCACATGATCATCGGATTCACTAATGGAGTCAGTATTATTGTTTGCCCCAATCCACATGGCCAGGCCATACAGGTAATTATCTGTTTGCCTTCCTCTTGCTCACTTTCCATCAGTCTTGCCAGTTGTTACCAAATTCTTAGGTCCATTCTCTTCTCATGGGTTCTGGGGCTCCATTTTCGAGAACTAAGAACAGACCCATTGCCCTCTCCCTAACATGTCATCGGAGGCGATTAATTAGCCGTGTTTCCTTCAGAGTCATAGTCCATCTGCCTGAGAGACAAGGGACCACCAATCTGTATAGAAATAAGTCAGATCAGTAAAATGAATGTGCACACACAAAAGTTAAGTTCTAGATCAGGACCAAAGCTTTCCACCAGAGTTTACAGCTAGTGAACACTAAGAAGAAGAAAAAAGAGTCTGCTTCTCATAACATGTCTGAAAAACTCATACTGTCTAATCGTTCTAATGAGTGGATGACTTTCTTCTGTCTCAAAGAGGATTGCCTTAACTGTTTTTCTAGACGGCCATGATATTCTTTGCATTCTTCTCAAAAACCACATCTCCACTGTAAATATTTTCAGCTTGTCTTGTGGGCATTTCTAAAATTCATGTAACAACACTGGTTCATATTACACTTTAACACTCTTTTTTTCTCACTGCATCTTCTTTACAGTGAGTTTCTTCTGCATCTTACTAAAGGCCTCTTTTGCCATGGCAATTCTTGTTCGACAGTCTGTTCTTGTTTTCCACCGTTCTTGTTTTCTCCACAATGAGGCAAAGTGCCTTTTTTTTTTCTTTAACTCCTTCTCTTTCAGAGTACTATCATTTTAGGGGATTATGACCCAAACATACATTTAAAGTCTTAAATAAAAAAAGTGAGAGGAAATGGACTAAATTAAATTTATCTGCCTGGTAATGAAAGAGTGAACGAATTACATATCAGTCCATTCTGGTAAACATTTAATAAATAACATGCGTTCTTTATTATTTACTTAAGGGCCTGGCTTGGAATGCAAAACAGCTGTCTTTACCCTGTCATGTTGTTATGCCTGACCATGCTCCAGAAGCTAAAATTAGACCCACTGTGAACATGGGAGCCACCGTCGTTAAAGTGCCTTTTGATCAGTGGTGGGATGTTATTGTCCAGAGGAGATACAAGGATTTTGATGGAGCTTTTATTCATCCGGTATCGGAGCCTTCAGTAATAGCTGGTAATGGATTACTCACTGTTCTTTGTTCAATATTTAATTTTGTTTAACTAAATAGAGATTTTTTTTTTTTTGGCAACATACATCAAATGGAATTTTTAAATTAAAAAAAAATTCAAGTTGGGATAAACTCTTTCAGTCCCAAGGACCGCATCATACGTTTAGAAGTTTCTACTTAGAAGATCAAAGAAAGCAAGATGCCCCAATTTTACGTCTCTCTTGACTATCCTTTGGCATCTGTGCTAAACCCCCTGGGACCAAATAGTTAAGCCATTTAAAAGCTGCCACCTGTTTGATATGAAAATAAATGTTTGTTTTATTTTTGCATGTTCAGATTTTCTATAAGTTTTTCTTTGTTGTGTTGCTGTGTCAGGGACTGTCGGGATGATGTCTTCCCAGTGAATCCCTGGGTTACCCTTGTTCCTTGGTTCTTGGCTACCCATGCCTCTGCATATATTTCCAAACCAATGTAACTGTGACTGATCCACTTGAGTTTGTAAGGCCTGGGTTTCAAGATCTTGTCTTATTGCAAACTTTGTCCCTTCTTGTCGCTTGGACCACATCTCTCAGATATATAGTTTCTGGAGCCTAAAGCAGGCTTTTGGAGCTTTCGTCATTGCAAATGACTCACACCCATAGGTCAGGACTGGCACATACGTAGAAGACATTACATTCTTATTTAAAATGAAGAAAAAGTTGATGACAGTTGAACAAGAGGTAGATAATGATACAAGTGGGAGGATAACATCAAGAGATAGACAAACAGCAGCTTCGGAGAATGTGCAACCAGTACGAAAGATAGAACAGCTTGGAGATCAGCTGCAGACAATCTTAATTGAGGACATGGCAAAGGACTGTTTTTGTGTGTGTGTGGTTAAATGTATTAATTTTTTAAAATTTATTTTTTCTCTTATTCACAATTGAGGACCTCCCCCCCCCCCCATCCCCCAAATACAAGGTCCGACAATTAAGTAATGAGACTGATTTTATTATGATTTTATATCAGGTAATGGAACAATAGGGTTGGAAATTCTTGATGATTTGCCAGAAGTTGATTCTATTGTGGTGCCTTATGGAGGTGGTGGTCTTTCTTCAGGAATTGCACTAGCAGCCAAAGGAAGAAAACCAGATGTAAAGGTTGGTTTATTGTCTTCTTCTTCTGCTCCTCTTCCTCTTCTTTGGATGTTCACTTTGATTTGTCATTGTTAATTTTAGTTCATAAAATGCAGACTGGTAAATTTTATAGAGTAAAGGCAGCTGGCGTTATAGGGATGTTATTTGTTAAGCTGTAGTTGTTTTAAAAAATAAATATGGAACTAGCATCATATCTCCAAAGTACCCCAAGGTGTGGACAAGGATGTCCTTAGTTCCACTTTTTTCTTTTTCTTTTAGGCAGACATCAGTCGATAATTTTTCCAGTTTCTTGCCTTTGAAGTTGATACATCCCACAGCTTTATCTGCAGGACTCAAAGCTGGTCATCCAGTCAAATTTTAGTAGACTGCCAGGTTTGTTCATGGAAAGAGAAGAGGTGAAATCCAGACGGAAATGTGACCCCGGTTTAAAAGGCAGAAGAAGAAAGATGAGATCTTCCTGTGGGTTCTGGGGCCCCATTATGGGGAAAACAAGAATAGACCCCTGCATCCCCAACAAGCATATCGTAGGAGTCATCTAATTGGGGACTTCCTTCAAAGTCGGAGTGCACCTGCCTGAGCGGCAAGGAACAACCAACTGCACACAAATAAGCCAATAAAATGGATGTACATGCAAAACTTAGTCCGTGGCACAGAGCCAAAGTCCAAGTGGACAAATAGCTGGAGCTTACTGCTGGTGAACAGAGACGAAGAAGAAGAAGAAGAAAGATGAGAATCTAGTCACTCTTTGATATTACTGTATTCTTTTTAGGCTGACCTAAGCCAAATCATTTTTCAGGTTTATGCATGTGAGGTTGACACATCTGCAGCTTTGTCGGCTGCTCTGAAAGCAGGTCACCCAGTGAAATGTCAGTACACTGCCAGTTTTGTCGATGGAATGGGAAGTGGTGAGGTCTTGGCTGAAATGTGGCCCCTGGTGAAAGGTGTGCTGGATGGTTCTTTGGTAGTCAGCCTGCAGCAAGTGGCAGCAGCCGTCAAACTTCTGGCAGAAGCCAACCATGTAATAGCAGAAGGGGCGGGAGCTGCGTCTGTGGCAGCTGCCCTTAATGGACAGGCAGGGGAGGGTAATATAGTTTGTGTTGTCTCAGGCGGTAATATAGACTTGAAGAAATTAATTCCGATTTTGCAAGGACTTGTTCCAACTTAATAAAGATTAATATTCATTGATGTCACCAACATGTTTTAAATAGACTCTTATTGGCAGCATCTTTGTCATCTTACTTTAGTTGTTTTACTCAGATTTTTATTTCTTCTCACTTTTTTATTATGTCTGTCCCTTTTTATCAAATGCACTCTGAGAATTAATAGGTAAACACATTCTTTCTTCTTTTGGTTTATATTCCATTACTTGATTTTTATTATCTGTTAATTAAATTTCTAAATAAGTAGCTAGAATGCTGTTGAGGGTGTTTCCCATGGGTGTTCAAAGAGTAAAATCATCTGCATGTAGACTGGTGGATTCTTGTTGGTGAGATTGTTTAGTAACGTCCATTGTGTAAATTAAGAAAAGCCTTAGCATTTTTACGCGGCGTCCTTGGCTTAGGCATTGCGAGTCTGACTTGTAATTCCAACGTACCGCAGTCGAAACCCACTGCTCGCTGCATGGATTTTTATCATGGTATGGGGCATCGGAGGTTGACCCAGCCTCAAATTGGTACCAGGATGGCTGTCCTGGGGAAATAGAGATGGCTGATCACATTACCCACCTAGTGCCGATTGGTCTGTAAAAATATGGAACGCTCTTCCCATATGTCCGATACGCCTAAAGGTGTGAAAATGGATCTTTACTTGCTTACTTTACTTAGCACTTTTACACTCCCCTGGGGGACTCTCAGTTATACTGACTGATCAACTCTTTGTCAAATTAAGAAAAGCCTTGGCACTTTTACACTTCCCTGAGGGAGTTTCTTAGTTATTCTGACTGACCAACCCTTAGTCAAAATTAAGAAACGCCTTGGCACTTTTACACTTCCCTGAGGGAGTTTCTTAGTTATTCTGACTGACCAACCCTTGGTCAAAATTAAGAAAAGCCTTGGTGCTTTTACACTTCCCTGAGGGAGTTTTTTAGTTATTCTGACTGACCAACCCTTAGTCAAAATTAAGAAAAGCCTCGACCAACCCTTGGTCAAAATTAAGAAAAGCCTTGGTGCTTTTACACTTCCCTGAGGGAGTTTTTTAGTTATTCTGACTGACCAACCCTTAGTCAAAATTAAGAAAAGCCTTGGCACTTTTACACTTCCCTGAGGGAGTTTCTTAGTTATTCTGACTGACCAACCCTTAGTCAAAATTAAGAAACGCCTTGGTGCTTTTACACTTCCCTGAGGGACTCTCAGTTAGTTGACTGACTGAAAATTAAGAAAAGCTGACCAACCTGACTGACTTTTAGTCAAAATTAAGAAAAGCCTTGGCACTTTCCCTGACACTTGACCCCCTGAGTCAAAATTAAGAAAAGCCTCGGTCTTTTTACAGTTACTCTCTGACTGACCAAGTCAAGACTAGGGAGTCTGACTATTTGACTGACCAAGACTACCAGTCCATTGCTACAGAAATTCTCTTATACAATAATACATGTTTTAAGTAACTCCTGCTTGCAGAATTTTCTTGTTTAGGCTCTCTTTCCACACACTGTGGAAAGTATGGGAAAGATCAAGTTAAAAGAAGAATAACAGACTTAACATGATAGGTAATACCTTATAGTTTCTTTATTTATTATGAAAACTAAATAATCACCATGAATTTAATGTTGCACAACATTGAAATAAGTATAAATAGGTAATCAAAATGTACTTCTGGTAATGCTACCGGTCAACAAATGCCTGCAGAAGTTGAATGTGAGAGCCAAAATGCACAAATACCGTAACCATGCTGTAAATGTGCACAACACAGTTACATCTTCAGATGAATGCAGAAAAAGAAAATGTTTGTTTCCCTTCCTCTACTAATTTTTTCCCCACCATTGACATATTTTTTTTATTCAATCCCCTATTTGCACTTGAGGCTGCTAGCACACTCCCCCCCCCCCCCCCCCCACCCGCAACAAGGATTTCCTCATTCCATTACTCATTAGAGGTTTGTAGCATTCACGTTGAGAAACACTGCTTTAAATGCATAAGCATGCTGGGCAGTTCCCTGGAAGCCTTGCAGGTATATAGGTTGAAGCTATTTATGTTCTTTAAACTCAATGTTATTTTGTCCAAACATGTGTATTACACTGATTAAACTTCACTGTTCATTATATGTTTTCAAATGTCAAAATATTAATATTGTTGGAATAACCAGTAACCTTTGTTTATTTTATGGACAGTTTGCATTTTTATTCCTGTGATTCATTGTATAGACAGGGCTCTGTGCATTATTTGCTTGGGTTTGTAACACTGCTAGGCAGCTGTATAAATGTTTAAAACCTTTATTGTTACAGTAAGCATTTTCACTGTGAAACGGTCAGCATCACACCAGCAGCCTTTACTTCCTGGGACTGCACCTGGTACCCACTCAAAGGTTTCTATGGACTAAGCCCAAAATATTAGAATAATTCTATAAATTACTCTTAATAATTTCATTACTACCAGAGTGAAGGTCTTAGGTTCAGATATGAATTGAGATGGATTTTAATTTTTGACCTTATCTCCCAGATCTACCCAGCATAAAATTGTTGTCGGAAAAGGTCCTGGGAAATAAGGGCAGCCAGTACGATGTTGACCACATCAATCATCAAGTGCTGACTGGCCTATAAAAATGTGGGGCTATTACTAAATGTCCGGTGCACCTTTGATATTGGTGTCTTGTTTCACAAATAGAAAAATCACAAGCAGTATCAGTTTAAATATGCTTGATGAAAAGTCGCAGCCATTAGGTCTTTATGCAATTGAACCTGCAGTCTTTAGAACATGAGGCAAACAGCTGGATCACTTCACCACATCATTATCGTTGCCCTGTTGTGCCATTATATGTCACGTAGGGCTCACAGTAATTCCTTCATTCTGTTCCATGTCTTTTCGATATCATGGATGGAATTCAGTCTAGCACCTTTGGCCACTCTCATCAATGTTTCTTTTAGGGTTTCTTTTGGAAGTCTTCACTTTTTCAGTCCCTCAATTTCGCATTTTTTTTTTGAATGTTGAATTAATAATCGACATCACAGCACTCGGGACACTCCCATAAGTGCTCAGTGCCCATCTTCAGCAGCAAGCGAAGAGTTTTAGTTCCGATAATACCAGTGACCGCCTGACTGTATATCTGTCTCATCCTTTCCCTGAGTGTTGAGCGTCAGCCAGATCCCCTGGTAACTCCTTGCAGCACCATTCTCCTTAGACCGTATTGATCTACCTGCACCTCCGCACTGTTCACTTGCTTTCAAAGGGCCCTCACAATATCTAACTTGTCATACATCAGTTTACCACCAAGTGGTGCAAAGCTAGCCAGTCTATCTGCCTGCTCATTTCCCAACACACCGGCATGACCTCAGGATACTTTCCTGCAAATTTCTGTTGCAAATAATTATTTACACAGTGAGGGTTGGGGCCTGGCCACAAGCCCAACCCTCCTCCTTTCTCACCCAGACTTGGGACTAGCAATGACAGAGACTTCATCACAGGAGTATTTGAATGCTTTCATGCCAGATTGAAAATGGCACATAATTAGAGATTTGTGATTGCTAACATTTGCTCCGGACCAGGCACATGAGAACCTATCAGTTAATAGTATATATTATTTCTGTTCGCTGTTTTTTTTTTAAAGTGTATAGTGTTATTTATAGTAAATGTATGATGCAATAACAGTCTGTGCAATAATAAACAAGGGCAGTGTACTGCAAATTGTTGTCACGTTTTGAAAGCTGTTATATGATTACTGTACAATTTTTTACTATTCTTTAGAGAAGCAAACTCCTCATGAGAAACCATTTGTCATGGAAACCAGCACAACAGGGGTATTAGAAGAGATCTGATCCTGGTTTGCTTAGGGAGAAACAATAACAACAGTGCTCCTGTGCTCATTTAGAGGCCTTCATGGCTTTAATGATAATAATGTATAATCATATCTGTTAGTGGAAGCAAAGAATAGTAATACTGCACTCTACCAAGAAAGTTGTAAGAGGCGAAGAAAAGGGGTTGGCTAGTCCATCCTGTAAAAAAGCTCAGTCTTAAAAGCCAACCAGCAATCAACAAGTCTAGGTTTGAGGTAGTAACCCATAAGTGCTCCATTCTTCTTCTAACTCAAGTCTGAGCCTGAAGAAGCTCAGCACAGTGCACAGGCTTTGTAGCACTGGCGAGGATCCTGAAAATGGGTAGATTTTTAACTCCAAATTTTGCCTCGGCAGCGCCGTTAGGTACTCTTTCGATTTCAAACTGTCAAGAGATTCCCAAGTCCACATGAAAAATCCCAGCCCTTACCAGGGATTGAACGCAGAACCTCTAGCACTCGAGCTAGACACCATGCCTCGAGACCACACAGCCATCCCCCCCAACAAGTCTAAAGAGACTTGACCTACTTCTTTCAGGAAATATGATTTACTGGTGAAAGAAGAGGAAGTTTTTAACTCTCTTTCCCAGAAAGTTTCATGGTTGATGATCAAGGCATGGAGATTACCACAGTGAAAAATCACGAGTGAAGTACTTTTGAACAGGCTAAATATTCACTGAATGTGGCCACTAGGAGAGCTCGATTTTTGTTATGCTTTTAGTGAATGGGAAATGAAAAATAACATACTCAGAGCCAGAGTTGTGTAGTGCTAGATGCTCTTTCTGCCTGATTGAAGGTTATGTGTGTGAATCTGCATCAAGTGGGATTTCTTTCTTAAAAAAAATAACCTTATTTTGCGGGTCTACCCAGGCTGTCATGGTTACCAGGTAAATTCCTGGGAAGTAAAGGCAGTCAGTGTATGTTGCCTACATTACTCACTGAGGGTTGACTAGTCTATAAAATACAAGTCTAGCATCAAATTCTGAATGCACAACTGGTACAAAAAGGGTCCTTTACTTAAAAGAACACATTGCATGATGGTTAAGTTTAACAGGAAAGAGCGAGTCACATACCATCTGGTGTTTCGGATGAGAATAAATAACAAAACAAACAACACATTCCTAAAATTTTGTTTTTCTTGGTTTTATACACAGACCTTGATGAGACAATATGAATTTCTGTGGGGAA